CTCGAGGACAGAGAGCCCTGGACTGCTGGCCCCTTGCTTCTCTTCTCCTCGAGGGCCAGTATAAGCATGTGAACTCTAGAAAAGCTTCCCATCTTTGAGGTGAATGTAGTCTTGGACCAGGGAGGATGGCTTGGTGAGGGAGGGGACCCCAGGGCTCAGTCTATAACCAAGATCAGGGCTCAGGCTGCAACAAGGATCAGGGCTCAGGCTGTAACCAGGGTCAGGGCTCAGTCTGTAACCAGGGTCAGGGCTCAGTCTATAACCAGGGCCAAAGCTCAAGCTATAACCAGGATCAGGGCTCAGTCTATAACCAGGATCAGGGCTCAGTCTATAACCAGGGCCAGGGCTCAAGCTATAACCAGGATCAGGGTTCAGTCTGTAACCAGGGTCAGGGCTCAGTCTATAACCAGGGCCAAAGCTCAAGCTATAACCAGGATCAGGGCTCAGTCTATAACCAGGATCAGGGCTCAGTCTATAACCAGGGCCAGGGCTCAAGCTATAACCAGGATCAGGGTTCAGTCTGTAACCAGGGTCAGGGCTCAGTCTGTAACCAGGGTCAGAGCTCAGTCTGTAACCAGGGTCAGAGCTCAGTCTGTAACCAGGGTCAGGGCCCAGGCTATAACCAGGATTGGGGTTCAGGCTGCAACAAGGGTCTGGGCTTGCTGTGGAGCCAGGATGAGGGCTATATGAGTAGCCACTTACCAGGCTCTGGATGCTAGAGCTCACACTCTAGACTCTGTGTGCTGAGCACTGACTTTGCCTCCCCCTGGTCCAGGTCCCCTGTCCTGCCTCTGCTTCCCCAGGAGGAGCATCCCTACCTGACCCGGCAGCCTCAGGTCCCCTTGTTGCGCTGGGTGTGGCCATGGGCACCTGGGCTCCAACTCCCCACCCTGTGCTTTCTCCCTTCCAGCCTCCCTCCCTCTGCCACCAGCTGCCGGCTCCGTCTGCTCGCTCCTCTCCTCTCCCCCTCTCTGCCTTAGAGACAGCTATAAGTCTCCCGTGAAATATATACAGTGTAAATATATAAAAAGCTTGTGCCTGCCTGCTGCTTATGTATTCATGAAATAGTAAATAAATTTTATGGGATAATTTGAAGGCTGCCAGGGAGCCGGGAGATGAAAACGAAGGCCTAATGAGATGGAATATCGGGGCAGCACACGCGATCGATCGGCTGCTGCAGGCTTGGCTGGGAGAAGCCTGGCTCCAGGGGCCCAGGGCCACAGGACGAGGTGCTCCAAGGGGCTTCAGGGGTCATAAACTGCAGCGGCTGCAGGGGGGACGCCAGGGAAGCCCAGCAGAGACGCTGCAGGCTGAGTTCTTTCCCTCGCTCTACCAGGGAATGCACTGTGAACCAGCCGAGGGCCTTCTGCGTGCCTCAGTTTCCCCACACGTCTGGCGAGAGCCTGGACATTCTCCTCAGAAGCTCGGGCCTGTACTTGTGTAATGGCACGGTGACATAACGCTGGATTCCTAGCATTCTCTCCACCACGCTTCCATGTGGCCGGAGCAATCGAGTTTATTCAGTTAAGGTTTGCTTTTCCCGCTTCTCACTAACAATTGACTGATTAGATAGACATGGGAATGAATGGAAGGATAAGCAAAAAATAAAAAAAAAATAAAAACAATCCTGCTCACTCTTATCACCCCCCCATACACCCCACACACACCCCACCCCACACACACCCCACACACACCCCACCACACACACACCCCACCCCACACACACCCCACCACACACACACCCCACCACACACACACCCCACCCCACCCCACCCCACCCCACCCCACGCACACCCCACCCCACGCACACCCCACCCCACACACACCCCACCCCACACACCCCACCCCACACATACCCCACCACACACACACCCCACCACACACATACCCCACCACACACACACCCCACCACACACACACCCCACCCCACCACACCCCACCCCACGCACACCCCACCCCACGCACACCCCACCCCACACACACCCCACCCCACACACACCCCACCACACACACACCCCACCCCACACACACCCCACCACACACACACCCCACCCCACACACACCCCACCCCACGCACACCCCACCCCACACACACCCCACCCCACACACACCCCACCACACACACACCCCACCCCACCACACCCCACCCCACGCACACCCCACCCCACGCACACCCCATCCCACGCACACCCCACCACACGCACACCCCACCACACACACACCCCACCACACACACACCCCACCCCACACACACCCCACCACACACACACCCCACCCCACGCACACCCCACCCCACGCACACCCCACCCCACGCACACCCCACCCCACGCACACCCCACCCCACCCCACACCCCACCCCACACACACCCCACCCCACACACACCCCACCCCACACACACACCCCCACACCCACCGCTGGCATCACCACCTTGGCCTAACCTGCTATAGACTCCTTTAGGGCCATGGCTCCCTAGAGGACATTTCCCCACAGCCTCTAGAGGGCTCCAGTTAAACTAATGAACCATGCCATGTCCCTCTTGGTCTGTCCTGTCAATGGTCCTCCCCATGTCTCTTCTGCCCCTCTGGTTCCCATCCACCCCCCCCACTATTCTTTCCTTCCCCCCTTCAATGTGGTGAGTCAGTGGGCTGCCTTGCTGTTCCTGGATTGCGCCCCAGGGCCTTTGCACTGGCTGTTTCCTTCCTCATAGCAGACTCCACCCCCTTTCTAAGCATCACCCAAATCCTGCTGAGCTACGTGGCCATCCTGCGCCCTGTACATAAAACCCCGCTGTCCACTTCCTCCTCTCCTGCCCTGCGTGCTACTTACCCCACCAGCACTTCCATGCGGGACCCAGGGGAACAGAGGTTTTGGGGTGTTCACTGCAGACTCCCTGGTTCCCAGAAGCCTGAGTAGCATGCAGTAGATACTGTCAGTAATGGTGAGTGAATGAATGAGTGAGTGAATGAATGACTAAGGGATCTTCCAAAACTGCTTTCATCGTATTTTTAAAGCGTAATTAATTAGTAATTAATTAATTGTGCTAGGAATGGGTCCCAGAGCCTTACATACTCTGGGCCTTACACATGCCAGGCACACTGTCTGCCGCTGAGCTCCACCCACAACCCTCTTTCACTTTTAGCTTGGGGTGTGCTCTCACTAAGTTACTTGGGTTGCCCTTGAGCTCACTCTGTCACCCAAGCAGGCAGTGAACTTTGACACAGCGGCCTCTGTGATGGGTCACAAGGGTGGGACAGGCCAGCCTGGGGTCTGGAACTAAGAGAAAGGCCCACAGTAAAGAAGGCAGCCACTGGCCGACCTCGGAGCACAAACTCACCATGCATTCGGGTCACTATCCTGCCTGGAAGAAGGAACAGCTGGCTTTTCCAGGGACACCTCCAAAGCTCTCCTCGGGGCCTGTGAGGTTGTTGGGAAGTCTATCTTGGAGCTGACCCCAGTTCCACACGCTGCAGTTTCAGTTCAATCTTGTTCTCAGACGGAGCCTTTGGAGTGACCCTCATACCTGAAACCTGGAGTACCTGGCACCTGAAATCCGAGGTCTTTCTTAAGGCTGCTAGAACCAGATTCGTAGCCTGGTTCTGTCACACGCTTGATCCCTGAGCTTCAGGCATATCAGTAAGCATGCAGAGAGGTCCACAACTAAGTAAACAGCAGGCGGGCAACAAAGAAGTAAAGCTGTGAGCTCTGGGCCAGACTCACAGTAAACACCCCATTACAGTAGCTAGAATCACATAGTCAAGTGACCACAGGACCCACTGTTGCTCGTCCACTAGAGAGTCCCGGGATCCCCAAGAAGCACACTGTTAACAGGTAATGGGGTTTTCCCCATGTTAGCAAAGATCAATACACCCTAGGTTAGCCATCCTGGCCAGAAACAGATGAGCTCTGGGGACCAGGTGCCACCTGCCAACCAGCTTTCTCCACCTTCCCCAAATGCCTCTTTCACTTGTCTCTTTTTCCTTGCTCACAGCGCCCCCCCGCCCCCGCCCCCGCCATGTCTTCTCTGCCTCAGCAGCAGCAACTGACCCTCTCTCCTGCCCTGCATGCCAGGCCTGAGGTCTGTTGGTTGCCTTGCACAAAGGTCCCAGCAAGCCTTAACTCCTTCCCTCCCACGCACCTGGAGCAGGCAGAAGCTGCGGTAGAGTCACCAACTCCCAACGGGGCAGTTTGCTCCCCCTCCCCTCCTTTACCTTGTCTCTTTCTCCTTCTGTGAGGAGGGACCTGGGGGCCCCTGGCCTATTCTCCTCCCCCACCCTCTGAAGGAATACACAGAAGAGCAGAGCAGGTGTTAAAAGCTGAGACCCTGAAGTTGTGGGAGCCCTGGGTCACCCCCATGCTGCATGCTGGCTGTGTGGCCTTAGGCGAATGACTGGCGTTCTCAGAGCCTGTCATACTACCTGTGAGCTGGGCGTCAATAGGCTCTACCACACCCAGCCATGAGGCAGCAAAGTGCTTTCTTTCTTCTCTTTGCCCCCAAATCAGTCTTTACACCGATTCCCACACCTCTGCCTCCTGCCACAGCTCACGGGGTGGAAAGAGTCTACGTGTGTCAGCTTTGCTTGCAAACTCGGGACCCTGTGTGACCGCCATTGCCACTAGCTGCCCCTGCCAACTGCAAGGCCCCAGCCTCCTGGCACACGGGCACCCCGGGGTCTCTGGAGCCAGACAAACCCCAGTCTCTCCTAGGAGCCACTTGGAGAGAGCTAGGTGAGTCCTCCACACTTCAGCATTGTCTGAGCACCTACTGTGTGCCTACTGTGTACCAAGCGCCTTCCTGACATCAAACCCAGGCTTGGGGAGATGTCTCAGTGTCAAAGCTCTTACCAAATACGATGAGGACCTGAGTTCAAATCCCCAGAAGCCACATGAGTGTGGCAGCCCGCTTGCATTTCCATCCTGGGAATGTGGAGGCAGAGGCTCCCCAGAGCGAGCTGGCCAGCAAGACCAAGGTCTGGGTTTGAGTGACAGACCCTGCCTGGGTGAATAAGGAGGAGCGGTGAAGGATGGATGCACACACACACGTGGGAACAAAATGAACACGAGTCAGACAATGGTGGTTCATCCAGCAGCCGCCCAGTGAGCTGCTGGGTTGTAGTCAGCCCTGGACAGCCTCAGGTTCAGTAGACTCAACTGACACCACATGGAAACTCTGGGGGTGCAGAGTGCCTCCCCAGCATGCCCTGGACAAACAAATGAACAAACAAATAAAATTAATCGCACAGTCTCCGATCCACATGGACCCTCCCCTTGTCCTTACTCCCCAAATAATAGAGTGCGGCCGGCCCTGCGAAGACACACTGAGGTGAGTCACCTTGAGGTGATTAAAGTAAGAGGACGTACAAAGGATTCTATGTGGCGCTATGCACTCTCATGCAAGATTTGATATCCGTGGACCTTGGCGTCCATGGGGGCCCTGGTACCAACCCCCAATGATTTAGATCCAGCTGTGACAGACAGGTGGGGGTCAGGAATCTCCTCTTGGGTGCAGGAGACAAGGGGACAGCCGACTAAAGGATATAAAGAGGCACGTGAAACCTAGGGAAGCTGGTCAGTGTTGTATGTGGGGGGCAGCATAGGAAATGGGGGTTGGGCAAGCAAGGGTGTGGCATCCTGGAGGAAGACAGTCAGGCAGGAAACGGTGGACACAAAAACTCAGAATCTAGAAACAGCAAGGGCTCCTGGAGAGGCGTGAAGGCTTAGGAGTAAGTGGGGACAGCAGGGCTCAGCCCACAGCCTACAAACCAAGGCCCCCTGCAAAGAGCCCTGAGGGAGCAGAGAATGCTGGGAAGGGAGGTGGCTTCTGGGTTGGCACCCTCAAAACCCCAAAGCCCATGTTATCTGACCTGTCTGACCTGCTGAGTCGGGAGGACCATGAGTTCAAGGCCAGTCTGGGCTACACAGCAAGACCCTGTCAAGAAGAAGGAGGAGAAGAATTAAGAAGAGGAGGAAGAGGAAGAGGAAAAGAAAGAAAGGAAATAGGCATTTGAACACTTCCTGTGAGCTTTTTTTTTAGAGCTGAGTCTGTGCATAAAACAGATTGGTTATTACTTCTGCGGCCTGGAGGCTGACAGGAAAGGAGAACCAGGGATGGGGATGGGGGATCTTCCAGGGAGGTGGAAACATTCTAGAATATTCTAGGGGTTTGGTTGCTTAAGATTAGGCATTTGTTGAAACTCAAAAATGACCCTCTTTAGAGTTGTGCTTTAAGCCACGTGCTAGGCAGACATGACTTCTGTGAGGGAGGGACAGGCTGAAGGGCTTGGTGAGGCAGCATGGAGAGAGATCTGCAGACACCTTCAGTGGCATCAAAGCACATGGACTGATGGGATAGAGGGATGGACGGACAACAGTATGATGGCCAAGTGCCTCAGGCTGTGAGCTGCTGTATCTAAGGCTCTTGTGCCTTCGTGTCAGGCACATTACTCTAAAGCTTCAGACCGTCAGAGAGACCCAGCTCATGGGATAGACAGCAGAATTACAGCCCAGAAGGGATGCATACCACCAAGTCATCCAATGTCAATATTCATATCTTCTTTCATTCTTTTACATGACTGCATAGTATTCCATTGGGTGGAAAAACCAATGCTTATTATCTTGGATCCTATATGGACAGGCACATGAAACTTTTCTACTATGGTGAACTATTTTGGTTGTACCATTGTTTTAAAGATGGCGAGACAGAACAGAACCCTCCTGGATAGACGAATAGAGGGGGAGGGGGCTTCTCCTGTCACTTCCCACAAAGCATCATTAAGTCCTGCGCTTCTCCACTCCAGCTTTTATTAAATTATCCCAATTTGTCCTTTCAAATAGATGTCTTTTCTTAAGTAGTGATTTACCACAATTAAGCCCCCCAAAATTAAATTAAATGAATTACGCCTCTCAGGTTGGATGTCTGCAGGACCTGAGGTTGGATGCAGCAAGGGTCTAGATGCTATTAAAAGCGAAGGCAGGGGGACTGTGTGCTGGGTTAGAAGGGAAAATTCATGACTCCACTGATACGCCATGATAAATAATTATGAGTTATTAATTTTAAATTACATCTTTAATGCGATGCATGATTTTAATTCCCCTTACAGTATTAATATCGGACTGGCTTTGATTAATTTAAGGCAGAACAGAAAGGTGCCAATTAGGGAAGCTGTTTGAGAGCTTGGAGGTGTTTGGAGCTGTCTCCTGGTACCCCTCGCTGGGGGACCAAGGTCACCGCTCAAGGGAATCTGCAGATTGTCCCCAGGAACCCAGGCTGGGCCATGTCAAAAAGAATGGGAGATGGATGTTAACCCTTGGAGCGTCTTCAGCGGCAGATGGAGAGAGTGGAGGCCTGATCTGGTGACAGCCAGAGGAGCAGGGACAGCCAGAGGAACACTACATGGTGGCTGAGTGCTTCCTTCAATGTGCGTTAAAAGGAAATCTGACTGCTGTTCCTAGTATGATATTTTGAATGTCCATTTATCGAAAGACCTTGGTTTACAATCAGGAAAAAGGAAGAAGACAAAACCAAGGGATAGAGGCTGAGGCCAGGCCTCACTGTAGCCCAAGCTGGCCTCAAACTTGTAGCGATCCTCCTGCCTCTGCCTCCAAAGTAGTGAGATTACAGATGTATGCCACCGTGATCTACTTTAAAAAGAAATCCATGTGGGGTTGATGGTCCATACTTGGGAAACTGAGGCAGGAGGATTGCAAAGTTAAGGTCAACCTGAATTACAGAGTGAGATTGAGGATCAAGGAAGGAGGGAGGGAGGAAGGGAGAGAGAGAGAGGAAAACAGGAGATTGAAACCCGTGATTTCACAGGACTTCTTAGATTGAGGGTAAATTTGAGTTGAAAGCAGAGACAAAGGGGCTGGAGAGATGCCTCAGTGGTTAAGAGCATGGGCTGTTTCTTCCGGAGGACATGGGTTCAATTCCCAGCATGCACGTGGCAGCTCACAGCTGTCTGTGACTCCTGTTCCAGGGATTCCATCACCCTCACCGTGACATACGTGAAGGCAGAATGCCAATGCACATAAAATAAATCTTAAAAAAGAGAGAAGGACAGAAATAAAGGGTCACATAAAGCCTCACCATCTTGCCCATGAGAATCGTCAAGAGAAACCATACTGTGATAGTGATTCCAGGCAATGGAAACTAGAGACTCTCAAGTGAATGTCATTCCAGTCCCAGGAGACGGAATAGCAAGCCATGAGTCCAAGGTCTCCAGCAGAGGCAGGACAGCTAATGGTCACAGCAAGTGCCTCTGGCCACCTGTCATTGAGGCCTCATTTTAGGTCAACGTTCAAACCAGCTTTCATGGACAGCATAGCTTGGGTTAAAGTTATTAATTCAAATTTTAAGGGCAATTTTGGGGGCCTGTGGAAGTGGTTCTGGGGGTTAGGTGTTTGCTGAGCAAGTTTGCGGACGTGAGTTTGAATTCTCAGTACCCACTAAAAGCCAAGTCTGGAGACGTACTTCATAATAGCAGAGCCACGGAGGCCGAGGCAGGAGGCTTCCCCTGCTCGCTGGTCAGCCAGCCAGGTAGCGTCAGTGAGCTCCAGATTCAGTGACAGATGCTGCCTCAGAAACTAAAGGAGGTTGAAGGCGGTATCAGACACTGACCTCTGGCCTCCACCCATGCACACGCACACACATGAGCACGCATGAAAAGATTCATGTCAAGTGTAACAGTGACACGTAGTGGGAGGTGGCATGTGGCTGTAACCATGCGGCTGGCTGCAAAGTCTCCACACAGGAACCGCAGTGGAAAAGATCGGATGGCTGTCTCTCCAACAGCACTCACTGGACAGACATCCCAGATGGAGCTCAGCGTCAATGGAGTTCACTATGACCAAGGCATGATGGGAATGCTGTGCTCTACCGTGAGAATTACCGCGGCCGAGTGACAGATGAGGCTTAGGTCAGAAGCGAGGCCCATCCGGGACTTGCGTTTCTTAAAATAAGTCCGCAGAGTCTAGAGAAATTGGGACAGGAACCTGAGGGTGACCATGGAGAGGAGGATCAGAAAGGAGGGGAACCAGGGCGAAAATGAAGAAGGGAAGGGGTCTGGAATAAAATGGCAGCGTGTTGGAGGCTGAGGCAGGAAGACCCTGAGGTCTATCTCAAAACAAAACAAAACGGAAGTAAAGGAAATGGAACATGACCCTCCCACACAGACTTCTAATTCCTGAAACAGGACATTTGACCTGGTGTCCTCCTGGGCCCTGGTGCAAAGTGGGGTTCAGAGAGATACGGCAACTTGTTTGAGGTCCATCAGCAAATGGGACCATGGAACGGGTCTTTTGTAGTCTGAGACTCCGAGGTGCAGGGAGGTTTAGCATCAGACCCAAGACCACACAGCCATCAACCAGACTGCAGGAGGTGAGCTGGGCTGCCAGTCTGGGGGCCATAGCTCAGTGTGTTGTTTTTCGGGCATTCTGGGTAGGACCCAGCTGCATCACTGTTAACCTGGGGGGGCAGGGGTGCGGGGCGCGAGCAGAGAGGAAGTGTGGGCACTCCGTGGGGCGTGGCCTCCCTGACCCTGACTGCCCAGCGTTGGAGCTGGAACTTCTGAAAAGCCAGCCAAAAGAGAAACAATCAAGCAAGGCCCCTGGGGTGGATTAGAAAGGCAGGATCTGCTGGTTTGTGGCCAAAGCTTGCTCCTCTAGAGGAATTAAAAATGGATTCTAATTCCAAGTTAGAGAAGGGCCAGGGAGGCCAGCTCCCTGAGATAAACCAGCCAGCAGGTGCAAGCTCCCTGTGTCCCTCAATTCCCTGGTCATGGACACCACCAGCCCTCAGCTTACTACCTGGGCCAGGCAGAGTTCAAGACCAACCACTGCAGAGAACTGTCTTATACCAAATCTCATTGTGGGTGAAAGATGGACAAAGACCCGTGAGGAGACTTGCTCACCAACTGAGGGAAGCCAGCCAGAGACAGGACTGAACCCAGACTCTAGGTTGGCACAGTTGGCTTCTGACCCTTCACTAACCTGTCTGCAGTGAGTTTTTTGTATGTCAGTAAGCTGCTGGCTTCCTCCTTCTTTGCAAAATTAGGGGCTGAGGACAACATCTACTTCACATCCATTACTCCTCCAGACTCAAGCAGGCAACTGGCAGCATGGTACACAGTGTGATTTTATAGAATAAGTGGGAAGAAAGGATGAGGGAGGGACGGAGTGGGAAGAAAGGAGGGACGATATATTGATGGATGGATGAATGCAAGGAGAGATAGATGAGTGGAAGGAAAGAAAAGAAACAGTAGGTGGATGGGTAGATTAATGGATGGGTAGATTAATGGGTGGGTAGATTAATGGGTGGGTGGGTGGGTAGATAGATAAATGAGTGGATAGGTAGATGGATAGTGGATGGGTAGACAGATGGGTAAGTGGATAGTTAGATAGGTGACTGGGTAGGTAGATGGATATTGGATAAGTGAATGGATAGAAAGTAAGTATGAGACCAGATGGAGAAAATCTCCCAACATAGGTAGGTGATGAGTGGATGGGCCAATACAATAATGAATGGATACATGGATGGATGTTGGGTGGGTAAATGGTAGATGGATGGGTAAATGAATGGGTGGGTGAATGGATGGGTGGATAGATGGATGGGTGGATAGTAGGTGGGATGGATGGATGGATGGATGGATGGATGGATGGGTGAATCGTGACTGGGTGGGAGGGTGAATAGATTGATGGATAGAAGGGTAGATGGATGAGGGGATGGATGGATGGATGGATGGATGGATGGACGGATGGATGGATGGATGGACGGATGGATGGATGGAAGACATATTAGCCAAGCCCCACACTCCCTTGCTCGGACATTGTGTGCTCAGAATAAATGATGATATGTACAGAGGGAAGATGCTGAGAAACGGCTCAGAAGTAGGGGTGTGGGCATATGTGATGGCCCCCTTCACTGTGGGGGTGGGAGACTGGCAGGTCTTGGAAGTGAATGGGCAGATACTCCCAGCTTCTGGACAGACTCTGAGATGCAGCACACAGCAACAGACAGATCAGTTCATTTCTTATTGATATCCTCAGATGGTTCTGCCTCCCTCATGGGGCTCATTATACCTCTTCTCAGGCTGATCTGGTGACAGTGTCAGGCTCCCTGTCATCACAGCAGGCTGAGTAACAACACAGATGCCATCGGCCTCCACACTGTGCTTAGATCTTAGCTTTGGCATTTGCCTGCTGAGTGACCTTGAATAACTGTCTCACTCTCTCTGAGCTCCAACTCCAGTCTGTCCCTTGGGGGAAAACTACATAAGCACCACCTTGCAAGAGATGGTGCTGACCAACTAAACTGGGCTCAGGGATGCTTAGCATAGTGCCCAGCATGTGGTTGACACAAATTGGGCAGTAGTAGCTTTTTGTGACCAGTAACCCTACAGCATGTGTGGCAACATGGAGAGAAGAGAACAGATTGCTGGAGACAGTGGAGTTGTAAATGACCACATGGGAGCCGAGGGAGATGTCTCCGTAAACATGAGGACCTGAGTTCAAATTCCCAGAACCCAAAGTAGTGTGTGCCTGTAATCTCAGTGCTCATGAGCAAGATGGGAGGTGGACGCAGGAGAATTCCTGGAAGCTCGGTGGCCAGCTAGCCTGACATAGACAGTAGTGGATAGTAAGAAACTCTGTTTTCAGATAAGGTGGAAGGGGAGGCTGACACCCAAAACTGTCATCTTTTCTCTCATAGGAACATGAGAGCACACACCCAGCACACGTGCGCGCATGTGCATGCACAGACACATACACACAGAGAGGGAGAGAGAGAGAGAGAGAGAGAGAGAGAGAGAGAAGGAGGAGAAGAAAGGAGGAGGAGGAGCAGGAGGAGGAGTAAGAGGCACACTTGCAGGGAGCTGAGCTCAGACTGTCTCCTAAGCTTCAACTGAGCCATGCTTTGTTTCTGTGTGTTGGAAGAGGTCCTACAGCCCATCTATACTCACATGTGCTTCCTAACAAGCATGCCCCCACCACAGGCCTCTTCTCCATCTGCAACTGACTAATCTGGGATGGAGCAGGGACCAGTGTCACGTGGTTGAGTTCAGTCTTTGGTTCTACCCACAAACACCAAGGCTTCAGGCACAAGGTTCCCCTCCACTAACCCTTCTCCTCTCTCTGTGAATGGGGACGGTTGTAGGACTTGGAGGGGTAACAGGAGGCTGGCAAACACTGTGTGGGTGGAGTGCCTGACTTGGGAAGCTGCTGAATGCATGCACAGTCACACCACTTACCGTCCATGTTGCATCCTGGGACCCAGTCCTCCCGAGCTCCAGGCGCCTGGTTGGGATTCCCAGTAGGAAAGGGCTTTGTGTCCAGGTTGGACCCTGGGCGCCTGCTGACCATCTGCTTGGGGGAGATTTCTGCTTAACAAGCCTTGTAATCTTCCCTGTGATCACAGCTCCCAGCCGCTCTCCCTGGGCTCTCCCAGGGGCCCCAGCCTCTCTTGCTAAGCCCCTGCCACAGCTATGAATAGCTGAACACCTGACCCGCATTTCAATATGCTCAGAGTAGCCCAGGAGCTGGGGCAGACTCCCAAGATGACTGTAGCATCGCTGGCCATGTTGGCTTATTCAAATCTTTCATGCAACAAACAGGTAAGGAGCATGCACTTCCATGCCTATCCAGACATGGGGACATCTGGCTTCTGCACCCCAAGACCTTTTTAGGACCCACTTGTGACAGACGGAACATTTGATCAAAACATCAGTGAGGGTTGACGAGCTGGCTCGGTGGGTAAAGGCACTTGTGGCCAAGCCTGACGACCTGAGTTCAATGCCTGAACCCCACGTAAAAGGGGAAGGTGAGAACCACCTCCTGCATGTTCTCATGTGAGACCCTGTGATTATATGGCTTCCAAGACTCTTTCAAAAAGTATATCTTTGGGTAAGTTCACTAGTGGCAAGCACGGAGATGGGCATCTGAGGCAGGAGAGTTCCTGGAGGAGGCCACGGCAGACACCTGAGGGACAGGACAGGGTCATGGGAAGGACACATGAAGTTTGGTCCTGACCTGACCCCACTTAAATTGCATTGCAGTCTGTGACATTTTGAAGCAAGGGAGCAGGTCACTGTCTCCACTAGGGACCAGACATTGTCTATAGGCCACCTCTGGTGTCTGGGGGAGGCAGACCTAAGCCTCACTGTCCAAGGACAGGAGTGCCAAGTGCTTACTTAACACACATGGCAGCTGGACACAGACGCACAGAACCATAAGAGATCCCCTCCCCCATGACCACCCGCAGTTCCTCCCCGCCCCTGGCATTGCCTTAGCCCGGTCCTGGGTGACAACGCCTGCTTCACAGAGCTGCAGGGAAGTGGCTCTCAGCACAGACTCAGCCTCAAATCAGTTTCTAAGGCTGCCTGACAGGCGGAGGGACAGCTGAGTGTCACCCTCGTTTTACCAATGAACACACTGAGCTTCTGAAGACTTTCCCTTAGCAAGAGGGGTATTATGTACACACACACACACACACACACACACACACACACACACACACACACACACACACACACACGATGCCACTGGCTTGAGCCTCCTCAACTTAAAGCCAGGACAGCAGGACAGGAAGTGGCTTGCTGATGCTCCGGCGGTGGCGGTGGCGGATGGTCAAATAAAGGCAGTTCAGCTTAGGGTTGGAGGATGTGGAAAGATCTACTCCAGGGCGGCTGCACCTAGCTCCTCCCTGCAGACAGGCCGGTTGACACAGCGCTAGAACAACTCTGGGGTTCCAACAGAACCCCAGGGGACCGGACCATGCTATAAATTCTTTCCCTGTCCTGGTCTTGTTGCGTCTGAGGTTTCCCTTGTGATCCCTAAATAAACCACTCCTCTGGCATCCCTGTCCCATGCTTATAGGCCCAGGACAATCTTCAGAAGGATCCTGTATGCTTTTACAGATGACAAAGAATCTTCTTACTAGGTCTATGCAAGGCACAGGGGTGGGGGGGTGGTAATTGGGGGGATTGCAACACCTGCCTGGTTGATGGTGTCACAGCTGGACCTCCTGCCCAGGCAGAGGTGGGGATGGTGGGAGTTTGGAGCTGGAATGAGCCTGGGTCACGAAGCCCCTCACCAGCAAGGACACACGACCTGCCCTTTGGGTGAGGCCATGGGACACACAGGGACAAGAGAGGGTGGGGAAGGTAAGCAGGAAGCCAAAAGAGGCAGCCATGACATTGGAAAGGGGAGGACTTAGAGCCACCCACACACAGTCTGCACACTGGGTCTCAGGTGGCTGTCTGCTGGGGCCAGCCGCACCTTCCACTTCAGAGGCACTCCAGCCATAATAGGGACATTGAGACCTGTCTTCCTGCAGCTGGGACCCCCGGCCACCAAGACAGCCAGGCTGAGCCAAGGACTTCTGCGAAGGTTGGGAGACAGAATAGGCCCTAACGGTTGCTCCCTGGAGGCCAGAGCAGTCGGCTAGGAGCGGCCCCCTCCCACGGAGCTCTGGGCAGGAAGGGGAAATGCAGAAGGGCCATGCTACCCTTGCCTCTCAGTGATGGGTCCGTGTCCGTGAACCCTGCAGGTTGCCAAGCTGGGCCCCCTCAGCAGCCCTGGGCTTCGTCTTCTTTGTCAGTGTCTCCCAGTCTGGGAACAGCTCCCTCCGTGTCCCCTGCCCACCACACGCAGTAAGGGAGGTCTCCAGGCTACCTGTCGGACATTGGTAAACTGAGCATCTACTACATGTAGGTGCTGTGAGACCCAGCAAATCTAAAGATTGACAGGTCCCCGGGGGTCACCGTGTGTAGAGACCACAGACTCTGCCAGACAAGTACACAGCTGATGTGTGCAGAGCACTGATAAGGGATTAACCCTGAAGAGACCAAAACAAGATGAACTTCTAAGACCCAATCGGGGGAGAGAGGCCAGTGAGGTGGTTCAGAGGATTAAGGGGCTTGCCACCCAGCCCTTGACAACCTGGGTTTGACACCCCGTCCCCAGATCCCACATGGAGGAAAGAGAGAAGTGACTCCCTCGAGTTGTCCTCTGACCCAACAGTGGCATTCAAGTGTGTGTAAGCACACGTATGTGTGCACACATGAACAATCTAAAGAAAGAAAGAAAAGAAAAGCTTATAGGTACTTGCTGAAAGGATAGAAAAAGGCCAGTGAGGGCTCAGTCACCTTCTGGTGAACTGCTAGAACATAACAATTCTCTCATGCAATAAAATTGGGACAGTGTTTAGGGGTTTGGGCAGATGCATATGCACACACATGAGTCCCCCACGCACACACGTGTGTGCACAAACCTTCTGGCAAAGCCCAAGGACTACTTCTCATTGGCTGGTGTAGGTAGTGTTGGTTGTCCATGAAGCAGTCAGGGAGTGAATTTCTCTTCTAGCTGGAGAGAAGTATGACCAGGAAACGAAGGTGGGGAATGGGGGGGGGGGTCACAGAGAGGGCAGAGGGGGAAGACCCACCATAGGTGGGGGGGGGGGTAGGGGGAAATACTGTTTATCTGAAACCAGGTATCTCATAAATAGGACCTGGATGGGAGCTATTCTGTGACATGGTCTGTGACATCATAGTCACATATGATACTTGAGAATTTATAGTCTTCATATTAACATGCAACCCTGTCTCACTAAGCAGTGACTGAGTCTGGAGATCTGGCTCCACAGAAGAACCTCTGACTGGCCTGTATGAAACCCTGGGCACTACAGAAACTAGGCATGGAGGCTCACACCCAGAATCTCAACACTCAGGAAGTAGAAGCAGGAGGATCAGGGGTTCAAGGCCATCCTCAGCTACATAGTGAGTTTGGGTCCAGCCTGAGCCACAAGAGGCAAGAGAGATAGATAGATAGATAGGGGGGGCTGGAGAGGTGGTTCAGTCATTAAGAGCACTGACTGACTGCTCTTCTAGAAGACCCAGGTTCAATTCTCAGCACCCACATGACAGCTCACAATTGTCTGTAACTCCAAGATCTGACACCCTCACACAGACGTACATGCAGACAAAACATCAATGCATGCTCTCGCACACACACACACACACACACACACACAAAGTAATAAAGAGAAAATTGGATTTAAATAATGATAGATAGATAGATAGATAGATAGATAGATAGATAGATAGATAGAATTATAGATAGATGGGAAAAATCAGTAGTGGTAACTAAATAAATAAAGACAGCTGTTTCCAAGCCTGATGACCTGAGTTCTATTTCCAGGATTCCCACAAATGTCCTCTGACTTCCACAAGTGCACTGTAAGCACACACATAAATAGATGTCACTACTTATTTATGTATTTATTTATTTATTGGTTTTTCCAGACAGGGTTTCTCTATGTAACAGCCCTAGCTGTCCTGGAACTCACTCTGTAGACCAGACTCACAGAGATCCTCCTGCCTCTGCCTCCTGAGTGCTGGGATTAAAGGTGTGCGCCACCACTGGCTGGCTGGCTATGTCCTTTTGGATTCTGTCTAAGGAAGGGGAGGGAATCCAATGCAAGTATGCTTGGCAACATGGACACGCATGTCTGCTTTACTTAGTAAATAGTGCAGTTATTATGGGGTGCATGCATGCTGTGGTGTTCATGAGGAAGACGTTGTGAAATGGGTTTGACTTTCCTCCTCTGTGTGGGTTCCAGTGACAGAGCCAGGACCCCAGGCTTGTGTGGTAAGTGCCATCACCCGCCTAGTCAGCTTAGGACCTTATTTCTTCCTCTTCTTTCTTTCTCTCTCTCTCTTCCTTCCTTCCTTCCTTCCTTCCTTTCTCTTTCTTTTTCCTTCCTTCCTTCCTTCCCTTCCTTTTAAAATATGTGCATGCATGTATGTGTTTTCATGTATATGACTGTCTCAGGGTTTCTATTGCTGTGATGAAACACCATGACCAAAAGCAGCTTGGGAGGGAAAGGGTTAATTCGGCTCACACTTCCAAGACCCTGTCCTTCATGGAAGGAAGGGAGTGCAGGAACCTGGAGGCAGGAACTGAAACAGAGGTCATGGAGAGCAAGCCAGTAAGCTGTTCTTTTCCATGGCTTCTGCCCCAATTCCTGCCTTGAGTTCCTGCCTTGACTTCCCTGGATAATGGACTGAGACCTGGGAGCTGGAAGCTGAAATAAACTCTTCCCCTAAGTTGCTTTGGGTCATCAAGTTTTTTTGTTTTGTTTTGTTTTGTTTTGGGGGGTTGAGACAGGGTTTCTCTGTGGCTTTGGAGGCTGTCTTGAAACTCACTCAGTAGATCAGGCTGGCCTTGAACTCACAGAGATCTGCCTGTCTCTGCCTCCCGAGAGCTGGGATTAAAGGTGTGTATCATTACCGCCTGGTTTGGTCATGAGGTTTTATCACAGAAGCCGAAAGGCTAACTAAGACAAGGGTGCTCGTGCATACTGGGTGCTGATGATGACGGAAGCCAGAGGACAACCTCAGGTGTCACCCTCCAGTGCTGTCTGCCTTCTCTGAGACCAGGTTTCTCGTTAGCTGGGAGCTCACCAGTTAGACTAGACTGACAGACCCATCTCGAGCCACCCCACGACTCTCCCCAGACCCTACTTCTTTTTATCAACCTCTAGGAGAGGAGGCCTGACAGCCATATGGCCAGATTAGAAAGTGCGTTTTGAATCTTGTAAGCAAGACAGAATAGTTTAAAACAACAACAATTCCCATGCTATCGGTGAGGTCCACTTGTAAGCCTGGGCTTTTACCTGTCTTGAGCCCACAATGTCCCAATGAGGAGATTCTGTAACCTGCATTTTATAAAAGGAAGATCTGAGAGGCTCAGAGAAGTGCAGGGTCACACACACCATACATACATTGTCATACAGGGCGCCGTCTCTCAAAGCTAAGCCGTGATAGACCTGATGTAATGGCAGAGAATTATCTGGATCCTGACTGGGGTGTGTGTGAGAGAGGGGAATGAGGTGGAAGTCTGAATCGGGCCTGAAGATGCTCCTTGGAAAGTGGGGACCACCAAGACGCCTTTGGGGGGCCCTCTCTGTCCTCCAATTGGGCAGTAGCAGATGCCAGGCACACACTGAAGCCCCGGGAGCCTCATAGTTACTTCTGCAGCGGTGCTCGATTGGCTGCAGCTGCAGGCACTAGGGAACGTGAGTGGCCTCTTGAACAGCATTGTGTGTGGCCGGCTCGAGCCAAGGAAGCCGGAGGAAGCGCCCTTCCTTGTGCCTCAGCCTTAGGCCTCCACTGTGTGCTTGTATTTAACGCCTCGCTCCATTTCCGAGCGAGCCTGGGTGCTGTGTGTTTGTTTGTCTAGTGACAGAAGGCGGCCTCCCAGGGAAGGGCCCTCCCTCAGCCCCCTCCACACTCACACAGCCAGCCTAATGCTGCGTGGCAGGGCAGGCTGATTAGGAAGCAAGCTGAGGGTCTCCTGGCACCACCGACTGGACCAGGCCCTCCCCTGCCACGGGAGCCAGCCCGAATCCCAAAATGGCAAAGACCCGGGGTACTTCACCACACAATGAAGAGTGCCTGAGCCGAGCCTTGGGGGGCTCTAGATACACCCTCACAGGAAATGAATAGCTGGCAAAGGAAGCCGTCTCCTACTAACCAAACACCACAAGGCTGGTCCAGTGCCTGCAGAAGTCTGTGAGACAGGCATGCATCAGAGTTTGGGAGATGCCTCCTCAGTAACGTGCTGGCGTTAAAGGCACACGGACCTGAGTTCGATTCCCAGAACCCACACAAAGAGCTGTGCATGGAGACACACCAGCATCCTAACCCAGCAGGAGGATAGTCTGAGGCTTGCTCGTCAGCCAGACTAGCCGATTTGGTGAGCTCTAGGCCAGGGAGTGACCCTTTCTCAGAGGATGTGAGCAGGTCCCTGTTGGGGTGTCTTCCCACCTCCATAGACGTGTGCACACAAATGTACCTGTACTCCAAATAAGCACACACACGTTACACAATAATAAGCCAAGATTAAAACCAGAAGAATCAAACAGACTCCAACTGCACCCCAGGCTGCACAGAAGCGGATGAGTTTTCAGGGGCATCTTTAACCCAAGATCCACACATTACAAGGGCCTAGGAGAGCCAGGGTTTGAATACAGGGCTGGCTCGAAAACCCAAAGCAATTTAAAATCCTGCTGATAAGAGATAAAGGGGATGGAGGTATGTGAATGACGTGTCTACAATGTCTTTGTTATGTGACTTTGGGGACCTCTTAACCTCAGTTTCCTAATCTGTAGAATGGGGACAAGTTTATATGAATATGAATAGTGTATAGTTGATATGAGACAGTGGGTAGACAGGAGGGGTGTCACGAGAAGCAGGCACTTGGTATGAGTCCACACCACAGAAGTCTCCTCCTTGTTAAATCTCTAGGACCTAGTGCCCAGAAGCCACAGGGCTCTGTTCCCAAAGGGAACTTGGTGCGGCTATGAACACACGCCGCTCTAGGTGTAGCTAGTCCATTTTAGAGACATGGAAACCGAGGTGCTGGCTAGTTTGTAGGTCTGCAGGCATCTGCATGTGGGCTGGGTCAGGTGCTGGCTAAGGAAGGTGTGAAGAGGATCTCTCTCTCTCTCTCTCTCTCTCTCACACACACACACACACACACACACACACACACAGCTGTTCCTGTTGCTGATGCTGTTGTCACAATGTCCTTGCCCAACTGCTGGGGCCAACCATCACCATGGCAACCGCCAAAGGCCAGCTGGCCTCAGGTGCAAGGAGGAGCTGTGGCCACCTTGAGCCCTGGCCCTGGTGCCTCCTTGGCCATGCATGATGATGTATCCAACCTGGTGGCCTTCGGAGGTCCCTGACTCCAGCAGCTGGGCAGAAGCAGAGCCCTTCCCTGAAGGCAGACCCATGGTCTCCTCTGCATCCTCGTTTTTTTTTTTATTTCCTTCTGCCCTAAGGGTGTGATGCCCTCGGGGTCTGAGGTCTCTGGTGGAGCAGGGCTGCAGACCTCACTCCTTGCGAGCCGACCAGCGAGTGCACTGGAACAGCTTAGCAGCTGACTCTGTGCAGCAAATATTAATTATCTGCTAACGACTCTCCAGGCAGTCATTAGACTCTGCTGCTGGCAGCTGTTCCCCAAACTTACCAGAGGTAGCATGGGCAGAAGGAGCTGCCCGTGTCCGGAGGGGTGGAACGGACCCTGTGAGCAGGCATGGGACTGGAGGGCTCTGGGAGGGAGGCGTAGGGCGGGGGCTTCCCTTTTCAGGAGATAGGGTTAGGAAACAGGGTGTACGGCAGGCTGGGCATGGGGTGGGAAGAGGAGCAGAGAAGGATCCAGAAAGAGAGGAGTGCAAAGGCGAACAGATGCCAAGTCTTTAAGTCTTGCATCCCATCATGTGCACTTATTGAGCACCTACAGTGTACCTCAATGCCAGTGGAGACCTCTTCCTGCAGATCTTTCATCACTATGAAGGCAGAGCTGTCTCTGCCCAGTGACCCTGACCCCCGCCGTTCCTTGGAACATGCTCTCTGGTCACTCCCTGGTC